TTAAACCTGATCAGCCTCCAGAGGAGATTACAGGTGAGTGTGTGAGCCCTGAGTTTCGCCTCTCAGGCTGAGTACAGGCTGCGGTCTAGAAGAGTGCCTGTAGACACAACTCAACGCACAACAACTCGTTATTCACTCAGTAAATTTAAATGTGTTCTGAAGTCGTTGAAGAATGTCACTCTGAAAACAGACGCCCCCTGCTGGTGCTGCGAACTCACTGTGGGAGATTGTTGTTGTCATGATTTGGTTTAAACTGATCTTTAATAATAAAAAACCAAAGTGTTTGAACATTTATTCTTTTGGCAGAAAGTCGAGGCCTCTGTCGTGTGTTTCAGCACATGGAGCATCTGTGATGATGTCGTTCCCTCTTGTTACGTACAGTGAGAATGTGTTTATGATGCTGCGGCCAGGGAGCGATGGGACAGGAACAAAAACATGTTCACAGTTCAAATCACTTTAAGACTCTGCAGGAAATGACATCACAGTAAAAAAATAGTAGCAGTGTAAACACGTAGGAACATTTTGACTGCAGAGGTCGAAGGTTAAATTCAGGAGCGAGCGGCAGCAGCTCGTCACGAATCCGTCTTTAGTTTGAAAAGCCTTGGGTGAGATTGTGGAGCGTTACCATGGGAGCGGGTGAGGGGCGGAGCCTCGTCCTGTTCCGGGGGTGTCATCGAACATGCCCTGGGCGTGGTTTGTTCAGAGCTGAAATTGAGACAGAGCTGCAGCTGCTGTTAGCTTGTTAAGCTGCAGCACCACAGTTAGCTAGCTAAGCTGGCTAATCCGTGGTAAGTCACTGGGCTAAGTACTGACAGGCTGATAACAGGGCTAATGACAGAGCGGCAGCTTCATCATCATCAGCATCAGCACTGACTGACATGTCCATCCCATCATGCACCCTGCAGGATGATAATAACGGAGCTGATCCTCTGACCTTTCCTGCAGCGGCGGCATCAAGTCACGTGTTTGAACTGTGTTCCCATCAGCCCCAGCTGGATGCCGTGTGGTGGGTGGAGAACACTGCGCCTGCTAGCATATTTTCTCTGGAGGTGGTGCACGTGTGAACGCAAATGTCCAATCGTGACGCACCGCAGTTTACGGACTTTCTCTGCCCGGCCTCCGAGTGTAAAGTCCGAAGAAATCCAGTAGAAGTGGATGTGTGAACACATCACTTCCCTCCTTCCAGGATTTGATGCTGTTGTGAACGAGTCTGTGCCGAGAACTCATCATCACAACAGGATGTTTATCTTACACTGGCATAACTGTAAAATGCTTCAAATTTAAAGCATTTCACAGGCGAAACACAAGGGGACTTTTATACTGAAGAGGTGACAGGAAGTGCAATGCATTGGTCAGTGAGCTCAGATGACTCACTCTGAACTCAGACATTACTCCTGAACTTCTTATCATTTTATTCATTCGGTCACTTTTGAATTCTCTACTTAAATCCATAATCTCTTTATAAATCCTGTGATTATTTTACCACATTGTCTTTTTATTCTTCTGTTGCTCTGATGTTGAAATTGTCCGTCTCTTCTGTGAATCTGCCAAAAACCCTCAAACAAACAAACACTCGGTGCCAAAGGCTAACTTAGCGTAGTTTAGCTTCCCCTGGCAGACTGTTCCTGGACTGTCCCACATACTTGATTGGCTCAGCTGTGCTAAACATGATTCAGCGCTTCACTACGTCGTTATTGTTTTTGTCAGATGTGATCCGAGGATTTTGAAATATAAGACACAACATGATATTTATTGTTATCTTATATTTCATTGCTCTTTGAATCTGTTTGATTCAAATAGCTGATTCATTTTTCAGTTGATTTCTGTGCTGGTTTTTCTTGTTTGCAGGAGCGGTTACATAACAACACACACACACACACACACACACACACACACACACTCCGACATGAAGTGAGGTCGGGACGATCCGAGTGACCAAGTCAATAAAAAGAGAGCAAGACATTTACTGTCCCTTTGAATTGTCTCACTGATCTGGTAACAGAAGCTTCTAAAAGAGGAAACAGCTGCTGTGGAGGGAGTTGATGATGACATATCACTGACAAGCCCTCAAGGATTCCTAAAAAATTCCAGAACTGACTCAAAGACCTTAAGAACATTTCAGTAAAACAATTGTGACCTCCTACATTCTCTTCCAGGACTCAAATACCAGGAATATTTTCCAAAACTGACGGAAACCCCTCAAGACCTTTTGAAATCTCTTCCAGGTCCATTTGAACCATAGTAACATCCTAAAGTAAGTCTGATTCCTCCTCCCGTTACCTGGAACACCTTAAAACACACCTGGAACCCCTTAAGTAACAGCTGATACCATTAAAGCTCGCTCGAACACCTTGAAACACCACTGGAACTCCTTAACACACACCTGGAACACCTTAAGTCACCCCTGGAACTCCTAAACACCCAAAACATCTTAAAGCATACCAGGAACACCTTAAAACACACATGGAACACCTTAAGTCACATCTGGAACACCTTAAAACACACCCGATACATCTTAAAAACACCTGGAAGACACATGGAATTCCTTGAAACACACCTGGAACCCCTCTGAGCAGAGAGGAGAGGAGCAGTGAGGTCTCTCAACAGGATTAGAAGATTACTTCCTGATAATCTGTGTTCCACGTGGTGAGAGGGATGATGATGTCACACTTGGCAGCCAATCATCTCACTCACTCACACACACACACACACAGACACAAGGAGTTCCTGACATGAAACTATCTATCCGTTGACCTTTGACCCTGACTCTAACAATAGCCCTGACCCTTCACCACGAGCGACGGTTCATTGCCATGGAGACGTACAGCAGAGCATGGACACCTGAACGGACCAATGAGAGGGTGAGACTGACAACTGTGAGACACACGATCAGCTGTTCAACAAACATTTGAGGAACTCCTGGAACTTTCAAGGAACATTTGAAACCATGGACCTTAGACATGAGGTACGGGGGGGTAAGGGGGCGACATTTCCTTCCACCCTCGTCTTAAAATGTCAGAGTGAGTCCATGTGAGAATACAGATGTCTGGAAACTTCCCAGTGAGCGAGTGGACATGTTGATTCTAACACGTGACGGACGTGAAACTGGAAGAACACAAACATGTCAGAATGAAGAAGAGGAGCTGTACAAGTGGAAGAGGAAGACGTCCACTTGGAAAGACGAGGAGATTCCAGATCTTTTGGTGATGAGGGCCGACGCCGGCGTGGACGAGCTCTAAACAACAACACTGATCTTTACACAGCAGAGTTTATACATCATGTCCCGCCTCCTGCTGCTCTACAGGCTCCACCCCTCACCTGAATGTCCCCCACAAGTTCCAGACTCAAAATAAAACCAAAAATAAAAGACATTTTCAAACTGTTCTTGATTCATCAAAGTTAAACCTCCAAAGAAAACAACTGTCAAACCCACAAACCTGACGTTTACAGGTTATAAAGAATGTCCTCACAAAGATACAAGAGTGTAGAGACAGAGTGATGATGTAAAAGATGACGACTGAGCCGCAGGTCATTTTATAATCTGTGTGTGTGTGTGTGTGTGTGTGTGTGTGTGTTACTGCAGCAGTCACCCTTCCAAGGACAGGCCACACACACACATACACACATACACATACACACAAACACACACACACACACTCACACTCTGCAGGACAATAAATCTGAGCGAGTCTTTGAGAGAAGGGAGGAAGAGGACAAGGGAAAAGGGAGGGAATAAGGAAGGACAAGAGGAAGAGAGGACGACTGAAGGTGGAGTAGAACAGGTCAGAAGATTGTGAAGAAGGAAGGAAGGAAGAAAAAAAAGGCTGCAAGGAAGGATCCACAGGACAGAAGGGAGCAGCAGAGGAATGCGAACTCCTCTTTGTGCGCATGTGTGTGTGTGTGTGTGTGTGTCTTTGTGTGCGTTAAGCACCTACACATTAAGTAAACGATGAACCATCAGCCTGAGTCCCGACCCACAAGAGGTCAAAGGTCACACGTCAGACATGAAACTCAGTATTATTGTGGTGAACTGTTGGTGAGTTCAAGGACACTTCGACATCCAGGATTTAAGAGTTCCCTGATGAGAAACAGCTCGATAAGATCTGCGGTCTGAGAATCAGCCACAAACTTGCAGAATGTTTCAGACGCTCACTCCTCAGACATGACCCTGAACATATGATCTGATCCGTCTTATCTCAGTGCAGCTGTAAACCACCGCCGCCGCCTGAAACCTCCTCAAGGACCCAAAACACTGCTGTAAACCCCTCCTCCCCATGACCTCTTGAAAATTTTCAAGGACCAGTAACAAATAACCACAAACAGTGTCTGGTGGCGAGTGAAGCAACAATCAAATCCGTTTTCAGGAGCTTCTTATATATAAATCAGCTCCAAATCACAACCTACATGACATCAACGCTCTTTAGGTCGAGACCTTACAGTATCATAGAGAAACCAACAGTTCCCACAACGAGCAGTTTGACTGTGGAGCCAGGAAGGAACCTCGAACCTGACTCATGGTTCTGGTTGTGAAGTATATGTAAAGTGAAAACTATTGGTCCTGGTACAGAACCTTGTGGAACTCCACCAGCCTGGTGCAGTAACTTTGTTCCCCACATGTTGTTTGTCTGTAACAGAAAGCTGCACCTCCATCACTGAGGCAGTTCATACTGAGCGCAGCACAAACGTCCGAACCCCAATTTTCATCCAACGGCTGTTGAGCGAAGTGATGGATCTACTGAGTGACGCTGCCACAGAGCGACGCCACCTTCAGGCTTTCAATGAAAACAACAGCGGAATGTTCCTTTACAGAGAGCGTTTGACTTCAGGCCATGTCGGATAAATCAGGTGTGAAGGAGGTAACCTTTACAGACAGGACATCAGCGTCCAGCTCTAAGAACTCAACCTTTTCTCTTGTGATTTAACACGAGTCAGACCTCCTCCTCCTCCTCCTCCTCCTCTCTGTGTGAACAGGCAGACCTTTCCCTCGCCTCCTCCTCCCCCCTCTCTCCCCCCGCTGTCCAGCTCAAACTGGCTGCCTGTGTGAACGAGACCTTTTCAGGTGAGGAGAAACATCTTTTCTTTTCTCTCGCAGCAGTTTGTCTCCGCTGGTGAAGTTTAGTTTGGAAAGAGAGCGAGGAATGATGAAGGCTCCTGCCGCGACTCGTCTTCTGCTCCAAGTGTTTCACACAATCCAACAGTTTTTACTCCAAAGAAACATCAGGAGATAAAAAATGGACTCTTCACAGGTTGTCTTCAAATGACCCGCAGGCCAAAAACCCAAAGAGCTTGAACTTAACAGAAAATCTCACTGGAGAAGCTGACGCCATGTTTGACATTTTTTCAAGAACCTGTCTGTTTTTCTTTTGGACCGGTGAAAAAAAAAAAAAGTAATTTATCTGTTAATGTTTCTTCACTTTGTCCTTTTGTAGATTTAAATCACAGTTTGTTCTCGTCCTCATACACCAGACTTTTATTCTGAAGGTTTTTACAGAGGCAATATTGATTTTTATTGCGATTTTTCAAGAGACATAAAACTTCTGAAAGAACATTTGAATCTAACATATCATAACATGAAACAGGAAGTTTGAACTTTTTATTCAGTGATCAGATTTATGTTCTGGAAAAGTTTGTAAATAAGCTCATATTTATTTAGATCATTTTAACGTGTATATATTTAAACATTACATTTCAGGAAACTTGTGAGAAAAAAAACATTCATCTTAATGTAAGTGAAGAACTGGAGACGCTTCTCAGAAGTTCAGCATCAGCTTCTTCTTCATCTAATTTATGACTCTGACGAATTATAGACATTTTTCTGACTGATTGATTCAGAAAATAATCAACCACCAGACAAGAAAGTGGTGAAACTGAAGTGACGGGTTGAAAACAAACGTGTATATCACGTATAAAGATAGAAACATATCTCTGATTATATCAGCTTATCAAACCGATCAGGGCTGTGTGAAGAGGAGGTGGATGAGTTGGTAGAAAGACAAAGATTGTCTGTGCAGGTTGAAGCTGGTCAAGAAATGAGGGAGGAGTCAAATGTCAGGATGTTTAAACTGACGAATTACGAGGAACTGATCTGGAGATGAGACAAACAAAAAATGTCCCCTCTCCATCCAGTCTTCAACATGTCCTGACAAAGACAGAAGTGAACTGAAGCGCTGGACACAGACCAGTTGAACCTGCTGCAGTTATTCTTATCAATGTGATCGAGGCTCCACACCTGTTCAAGCTATGCCCAGGTGTTTAAAGCCACACCCCCTCTGCGGTCTGCCAACCTGGTATGAGGGATTATGGGGAATGGCGTTTCACAGATGACACGGCGGAGCCGGGACAGAATCCGGAGACCTGGTTCCTCACGATAATTAATGATCAGAATAGCTGCCGATTAATTTTCCGTCAATTAATAAATTGATCGATTGTTGCAGGTCAGATGTGAACGACTGAAACAAATGGGTCGCCAGTCTGTTTCATCGATGTCACTCAAGCACGAAAGGACAAACTGGTTTCAACGGAAGTTTTGACAGCGATACACAAACTAGCCTGACTTGGGGCTGGAGTTTTGTGTGTCTGTGTTCACATATAGTGTGTGTGTGTGTGTGTGTGTGTGTGTGTGTGTTGGGCCTCACCTCCTCCATTCTTGTAGCACAGGTATGGGAACCTCCACACGTTGCCGAGTCCCACGGCGAATCCAACACAGGACATGATGAAGTCCATCTGCCGCGTCCATGTCTCGCGCTCTTGGTACCCCGGCTGAGCCCCCGGGACCACACCTCCTTTCTTGTCCGGACCAGCACAAGCTCCACCGCCACCACCTCCAGAACCTGCCACGAGGCTGCCGTTAGTAGCTGCGGCAGGGGGGTAACCTCCACCGCCACCGTTGGACATAAGAAGGGGGTTCTTTTTGGTCTCCTCCAGGAGAACCAGGGAGCAGGAGGAGGCTGGAAGGGCCTGTTTCTCCATCACTCAGCCAGGCAGGAACCGAGCAGGAACTAGTCAGGAACCAGTCCACAAGCTGGTCCACAACCAGGCAGGAACCAAGAGGAACCGAGTCAGAGTCAGTCAGGGAATTTGTCTGTAAGATTCTTTGAGTTTTTGTCCTCTGTCTCAGTCGGTGAAGGAGCAGTCCACAGAGACACCTCGGCTCCTCTCAGCTGTTTTGACCCTGCTGGATGTTTGCTGTCTCTTCAGTGAAGGATCACTTGGATTCTTCTTTCAGTCCCAGTTTAAAACCAGAGAAGAACCTGCTTCACTTTCACTCAGTTCTTCTGTTTTAGTCTAATTCGAGTCTCTGCTGCTCCGGTGATATGAATAATATCCAGCGGAGCCTCAGGCTGATGCTTCACTGATCAGTTCTTCAGATTCAATGTAGAAAAACACAAATTCAAAGGTTCTCGCAGTAACGATGGTTTCTCTCCTCTCAGGTGAAATGACAGAACGAAATGGTTAAAATAAAGAGAACGGTTCTGACACCGACACTCGGACAACGACCTTCAAAAACAATCCACGAAACACTTGAATGTGAGTCTGAAGAATCGCATGAGAACAGAGAGTCACGGAGGAGACGGAGGCCGGAGGGACGGAGAGGACGGAGAGGACAGAGAGGACGGAGAGGACACGGTGCTGGTACTCACACCGAGCGGCTTCAGTCCCGGCGGCGGGCGGCGGGCGGGCGGTGCAGGCGGCGGAGGAATGGGGGCGACTCCATCCGAGGAGGAGGAATCAGATAAAGAGGGGAAACAGAAGGAGCAGGAGCAGGAGGCGTCCGGAGGCACCTGAACGGTTCCCGGTGCAACGAGCGGTTTAACGGGACGTTTCAAATCTGCTGCTGCTGCTGCGTCCGTTTGAGCCGCGGCTTTAAAGGAGAGCGTCTCTGTGACGTCACAGACCCCGCCCACACCCTCCACTTCGACCTCCTCTCTCTACCCCCCCTCTCTCTCTACTCCTCTCTCTCTCTACCCCCCCTCTCTCTACTCCTCTCTCTCTCTACCCCCCCTCTCTACTCCTCTCTCTCTCTACTCCTCTCTCTACCCCCCCTCTCTCTGTACTCCTCTCTCTACCCCCTCTCTCT